ACCATAGAGTGGCGGCGGCGCCAAAAAAGTTACGAGGGCCGTCTATGTGGTGCTTGCCTTGGGCGCTCACTAGGTTTTATCCGCCTCTGCTAGGCCTGGAAGCCTATTAGCCCAGCAAGGGACAATCACGAGCCGTGTGTAAATAGGTCGCACACGTCCTTTAGTATTAGTTTTATAATTAGTTCTATTTCCTCCAAAATGGTTGAATTGAGCGTTGCTTAAATTAGATATTATTTTTTGTTACTTTATTTTACTTTCACACATTCTCTCATGATTGTAATAGAATATTGTAAACTTGTAATTTGCATGTTTTGAAGTTTGAAATAGTAACCAAGTTGTTTTACATTGAAATAAATACTTTGAACTTAACATGCTTATTATTTTCTTAAGTAATCTTATCATCACAACACAATATAGCCAAATATTTTTTTACATAAATATTACCTAGCTAGCGGTCGTGTTCCAACAACATGGTACTTGGAAGTATTCACATTTGGTTTGCTAAGTTTTTTGTAGGTACAATCCATTTTTGAGAGTTTTTTAAATGGGCTATTTGTTTTTACCCAACTTTAGAAAAGTAAACCTATTGATTATTTTTTGCCTTGGTTCCAACTTTCTAAGTATCACATGTGATGAATGACTATTCAGAGTAGGCCTCTGTTTTTTGTGGCACTTGGTCTGCGTCTTATAAGTGTTCTTTATCTTTTTATTTAAGAAACAGCGGACGCGGCGCAAAAAGGCCACTGCTCTCAAACTTATTTATTAAACCTATAAAAATGTATTTATTTATTTTAGGCTTTTATGGATAAAAATATGTACTCAGGTGGGCTTAATGCAGTGCATGCACTGGGCATTGTCTTCCAGCCAAACCTTTGGGTGGTGCAGAGACATCTTGTCTATGTCTTATGCCCTTTCAATATTTTTTATTATGTTATCTTATGTTTTAAGACTTATCTTATGTTTTGTATGGCTGTAATTTATCTGTAATAATAAATAGTGTTTAAAGTGTGGGAGAGCCATGCTTCGGCACGAATGGGCCGGCTCGACCGGAGTGATACCACGGCCTCACAGAAAACCGACGTGAAGTAACGCTTGCGTTGTGTTTCATCGTGTGAGTGAGGTTACCGGAAGCCCAATTATCCTCCCCTTCCCTAATCTCCCCAATTCCTGAATCTCTAACGATTCTCAAACTCCTAATCCCCAAAATGCCGGTAACACGCTTGTAACGCCTTTGGTGTTCCAGGTGTCCATGGGCGACGCCGATTGCTAACCATCAGGTGATCCGTCTGCACGTTTACCGGCTTATAGCATAAAAAAAATGTGCGAGCGTGACGAGAACCTATGCTACATACCGAACTATATACCGAAACGGTATTTAGGTACCTGTAGCATAGCAATGCAATAGCAATGTTGCAAATAAGCAGACGGATCATCGACACTCAGTGGCGTAACCACAGGGTGACAAAGCAGCAAAATGCCACGGTCCCCAGCTGGAAGGGGAGAGGGTGTTTTTTATTGGGAACGGGGGCCCATCCTATGACTTGACTGACCAGGGGTTCCCAACGGTATAATTACGTTACGCCACTACCGGTGCTGTCCAATTGGCCATAGAGTGCCAAGTGCGTTGCCGGTTTTTTAGACATCGGAGATTTGATACTGAGAATTGGGGATTGAGCCTTCTTCCAGGATACATTTTTTTTTTTTTTTTTTTTTTTAATAAAACGTTGCCCCACACTAGGATTTTCTCCTGTGTCGTGGGTGCGTTTACAAACATACAAGTTCACATACACAATGACACCCAGACCCGAAACAACAATTTGTGGATCACACAAAGTGTTGTCCCGTGCGGGAATCGAACCCGCGACACGTTGCACGGCAGCCGGTTGCCCAGCCACCGCACCAACCGTGCAGTCTTGCATTGTTCACATTTTGGCAGTTAAACTTGTTTGAACGAGACTTACGGACCTACTGTAGCTTCAAAATTATATATACTACCAAGCGCTATGAAGAGGAGTTCGTAGGTAATATGAGAGGAAGTGTCGCTTACCACCAGGCGAGATAGTGGTCAAACGTCGGCCCATCAAATATAAAAACAAGTAGGTAACAAAGTTGCGACTATAACCATAATAGATATGTAGGATCTATAGTGCATGGCACGCAGAAATAATCTGCCTACTTCGTGAACAATTTCAAGAATACGAATCGGCAATACATTATGTATTTAAACAAACCTATTTACAATTTACATTCATTCGAAGTGCCTACTTAGCAAATAATAAAGTTTATCTAATTGCGATAATCGATTAAAAACATGTAGGTAGGGGTTAGCACTAGTTCCGTATACCTACATCATTTTAGAGTGAGAATCGCTGGATCCTGTTCCATACCGGGCAACATCGGGCGTCCCTCAAGGATCCAATCTAGGACCATTGATGTTCTTGATCTTTGTTAATGACTTATTGGGTGTGATCAAAAGTGAGTGTGTGGCCTATGCTGATGACATAAAGCTATTTAAACGTATATCTGATCGTAGTGACTGTATAACTCTCCAAACAGACATCGATACTATTGTTGATTGGTGCAGTAGGAATCGCATGTCTCTGAATATAAAAAAATGTCAGGTTATTAAATTCACAAAAAATAAAAAGAACATGTTGCAGTATAATTACCACATTCAGGGAACCATTGAGAGAGTTATAGTTGTGCGCGATTTGGGGGTGGTTTTTGACTCCCCTCTGTCTTTTATACCTCAGTACGAGTCAATATGTAGTTATAGAGCAAACCGTATACTGTCATTCGTGCTCCGATCTGCAAAACCATTTAAACGCCCTAGCACCATGATAGTTTTATACATATAGCTCTTTGGTAAGTAGTATCTTGGAATACTGTTCGTCGGTATGGTCACCAATATATACCGTCCATACGGATAGAATAGAGGCAATTCAGAGACGTTTTGTAAGAGCTATGTGCTCAAAATTTGGGTTAAGACGCAAAATACCCCAATATGAAGATCGGCTGCAGAGATTCTCCTTGTTAACTTTAGAGCATAGAAGATGATGGAGGATACATGAGTATGCTATTTGCGCTCAAGTGGATATATTTCATGACAAATACAGTGCTTTTAAAAATTTCCTTCTGCGTCATAGCGAATTTCGATGAGCATGATATGCAAAGAGTATAATAAGTATAGGGATTGGAACTGTGTGGCCACTGAAAATATTAGTTTTGACAACATTTAATTTCGGTTTCAAAAACTAGATGTAGTTAACGGTCCGATTTTGTAAGCTGTCAATGGCTGTAAGTGTGACGGCCCTGATGATATGAGGTTTGTTGTTCACTCATTCAGTTGTTCCCTTTGTACCTTTTGTTACTTTTCATTTCTTGTATGGCCGCTTTTTAGTAATTTTTAGTTTTCAAAAATTGAACTTTATTACAGAAAAATGGATTAACATTTGAGAATTGTTTATGTAATTTGGTATAAATGGATTATGTACAGCTGTAATTGGACTTCAGGTTCGCTCACTATTTATAATTAAGATTGTTGCGTACGATTTCAATCTGTCGTCTGTATCTGTACTTATGTAAAATAAATAAATCCAAGGAAATAAAAATGGGAATGGGGATTCCCAGGTCATAGCTAAATGTATCCTAAAATAATTACACTCGAAAGCTCTTTGGGCTTTTGCTGTCATCTGTCTGTCAATATAAGAAGTTACTGTCAGTGTCACTGTGTCACACACATTACTTGACAGTTGACTGTCAGAGTCAGAAAGTGTTACAAAAACGTTGTATGTGCGTTGTTTGTTTACAATCATACTTAAACATTTTACAAATACTGATTCAGTATTATTATTAGGTCTTAGACTTAGCTTTCTAGCTTCTTCTCATCCCATGAGGAAAAATATTGTAAGTTGTTAATTTTGTAACTTTATGCCCTTTGGGTTTCTGTTACACAAGATTCAAGGACTCGACATAGTGTAGATTAAAAGTAAGTATTGGTAAGTAAGCACAAATAAGTGTCTAATGAGACTAATAAAATTGTTACATTGTACCTACCAGCGTTCTTAAACACTGGATTATATTTTAATGTAAATAGTCCTGTAAAATCCTGTTCTGGTCAAACACTAACAAGTAGGTAGATAGTAAATATTTACTTAAGTAACTTATAAGTATAAAAATTTATTTCTATAACCAAAATATCTTTTTTGGTTATTGAAATATAAGTTTATATGAGTCTTACTCTATTATATATACATAATATATAAAGATATAATGAATTTGTATTATAAAACTACGAAATTACTTTCTGTGGTTTCTCATAAAATTAATGTCTATATTGTCTACTAACTTCTGCCAGCTCGCCTGCATTCTATTTTATTCTAGACTACCCCTGTTCCAAATTTCATGCTAATCCCTTCAGCCGTTTGGATGTAATTCAGAAACATACACACCAAATTTCACATTTGTAATATTAGTAAGATATTTATGTTTTTCTTTCAGTAGTAAAGATGGGTGACTGGACGAGCTTGGAAGCAATCATGCGAGACTTGTCAGTAGCTCAAGGATCCTGTGTCCCAGCCAGTTTGGAGACATACACATCCAATGCTCCCCCAGCATACAATATTGACGAAGAGGGTACCTACATAAACTACACTAAGGACACTATTCTTATAAGACCCCAAAAACTATTAAAAAATAAATGATTTTTTGGTAAAAATAATAATCAATGATTAAAAAATTTATTGATACTTTCTTGACAAAACAAAGTTTAGCAAACTTACATATTATATAAAATACATATTATATACCTATTAACACACAGTAGCGTGTTAACATGTTTAATTAATGAAAACAAAATAAATTTTTGTTTCAAGAAAAATGGTGCATTCAACTATCTAACTATATGACAAGGGCATGCACCAAGAGTCCGTGTGGAGAACTAATATTTAACATTGGAAAAAAATACCTTAACTATTGATCCCAGTATGTTTTCAAAGTCCAAATCAAAGCATTTATTTCAATTGAACTATAATTTGGTATTTTTGAAACATCAACAAATATAAAATAAATAATAGTCTGAGAGTCTATCCGTCAGTGAAGCTAGGTTTTATTGTGTCTTATAAGATTGACTGGCTTGTGATATCAGATGACAGTTTAACAATTTTCTAATTAGAGTCATGTTATGTTGTAGAAAGTGAAGAACAAAAATACTATACAAGTGATGCGGATGCAGAAGCAAGCTTTGGAGCACCAGACTGTAGTCAGATTCAACAAATGCTCAGGCTGGTATGTTATTTATAAACAGTAAAAATACCAGTCAAAGTCAAAGCATTTATTTCAATTAAACTATAATTTGGTACTTTTGAAACATTTACAAATACAAAATAAATAATAGTCTGTCAGTCAGTCTGTCAGTGAAGCTAGGTGAAGCTAGGTGCTCATTCCAAAATGTAGATTCGAACGGAGAAGATTGAGCAATTAACTCCATTTGTTACTCTTTTTAAGAAAATTATGTTCTACAATGTCTCTGATACATATTCCAATACTGTATGTATATGGATAGCATTAAATCTGCCTTTTGTAACATTATTCAGTATTTGGTATGCAATAAGTTAATAATTATGAATATTATTCAATATCAGTTTTGTAAACTGTCTGCCCAATCAAAGATCTAATAAACTCTAGAATGTGCATTTCTGTCATATAGGTAAATACAATGTTATACTTTAGCCATGGAGTTGGCGTGCTATGAGCATTTGGCCGTTCGCGCAAAAAAAAATTGATACAAGTTTTTTAAACAATTGTCTGATAGTCTTTCTTGCACTTTTTAATAGCTGCCACTAGTCTCGTTAGCAATGCGTGACGAAAGATTTGACGCTGGCAGTGCGCTATGGACCGGTTGAGACGATGTTCGCTACCACCAGGTTTCAATGGGCGGCAAAATGCTCACCACGCACCTACGTTTCGCAAAAAGGCACACTCACTAGTGTTAAGATATTATACTAAAGTTTTCTCTATTACACTCTTTCAGGTAAAAGAAAGTGAAGCCAATAAAGATGAGAATCTAAATGGATCAGGTGACTTTAACCTGCTGAGCTCAGAGGTAGCAAAGAATAAAAATAAGAAGAAATTAAAGAAAAATGCAGCTCTCTCGTCCATCATAGCAGCACAGGAGGCTGATAAAGCGAGAAAACATCTTATTGGTGACGATATTGTTCAGAATATGTTTAAAAGAAAAAGTAGAGTTAATAGTGAAGTCAAAGTTCCTGCTCCTAAGGTCCCCATACCTGCTCCATCCCTACCAAGACCTATTCACAAATATACTCCAAGTGCACGAGCTAAAGAATATTACAACAAGTTTGAAGAGCAAACCAAGTTTCGGGAACAGTTTCAAGAGGACATATGGTCTATAGTTGAACGACAGATGAACGAAATTGATGCGAAGAAGTAAGTATACTAGATAATTAAACGTTTACAGTACATATAACTTGCAACGTCAACTTTCTTTTTAAAGACACTGATAGCTTCAACAAACTTCTATTGAAATTGTTATTTCACGGAGATCCCTTAAAAGATATTTACCACACACATGACATGAATGTATATACTCAAAATGAGGTACATTGGTATTTTTGTATAAGTATATGACACATTTAGTAGCAATTTCCTACTCTGAAGTTAGGGTGCGTCCACATCTGACGAATGCGTGACGGGCTGGTCGCGAGATGCGCTTTCTTTTAGATCATCTATAAGAGTTATAAAATATAGATATGTACAATGTTGTTTTAGACGGCAGGAAGCTGAGCTGGCCAGTCTACAAGAGTCTGATGTCACAAGCACAAGTGCTTCCAGTTCTACAAGCGGTACGTCATCCTATCCTTATCTGGAATTACTAGGCATCGACGTTGACCCAACACCTTCATCGTCCCCTAACATCTAACAGATGTCTCATTATATTACATGCTCTTTTCTTTCATTCCATCAACGATCTCAATAATATAAGTTGGTACAAATTGTACTGTTAACTAAAAATGACGAGTTATTTACGTATATATACTAAGAAAAGCTTTAGGTACTAGTTTCGACTCATACAGGGACTCTTCCTCACGAGGTAGGATGCACGACATTGCCGCGACCGCCCACGCTGCTCATGAGGCGTGCTATGAGTAGATCTTTTCTCAGTAAATTTACGTGAGTAACTCGTAACTTTTAGTTAATTCAGAGGCCAAAGTAATCGTTACGAGTACGCGTTCGGCGTTGTGATTAGTTGCTTCGAACGCATACTCGTTTCGAATACTTTAAACGTAAATCTAACTTTTACTAAGGCCTCTGCATGTCTCACGATAGTTTTTATAACAACAATTTGTACTGTTATGTAGTGATAATAAAGATTTTCCTATTACTTACTCCATATCCATACGTGGGTAATAGTTCACTTTTGTGTTCATCTTATTGTACAGTCAAAGGTCAAAAGTCCACTGCCACCGTGAGTGATGTTCACACTGCAATGCGTAAGTAATTTCATATTAATGTGCATAAAAACGCGTGCGTAGGTACGCATAAACACACGCACGCGTACGCACACGGATAAAAATATGCGTGTGCATGTGTGTATAAGCGCTGCAGCGCAACCGAGAGTAGTCTTACGGTGGCACTTTTGACCGACTTTTGACACTGTTACTGTGTAACTGTTTTCTCCCAATAAATAGAATAACACTCAGATTTTGTTCAGTTTTATTTAGTTGCCCCCTTCCTTGTCATCAATTGAATTCAGTTCTAAGTAACTACTATCACATAGGTTGAATAATTCTACGTACAAAGAGAGATAATAACATTTTAGTCCTTCAGTCTTTAAGTCTCCTTTGTACCCAGTAACTCAGTTACTATAATAAAACAAATTACTTCTTTGTTTTCCAGGTTACGATATAGTGAACTTGCCGTGTCACCGTCATGAAATTGAAGCTGATTGCGTGGTATGCATAGTTGCCTGCAAACATGGGTACAACTTTTAAGCACTAAGAAGTAATACATTACTTAATTCAATATTGCATAGGTAATTTTAAGTGTGGGAGAGCCCTGGGCCGGCTCTGCAGGCACTCCTGCTATCACTATACCACGGGCTCACAGAAAACCGACGTGAAACAACGCTTGCGTTCTGTTTCGGTCATTTGAATGAGGTTAACGGAGGCCCAATTTCCCTCCTCCCCAATCTTCAAATTCGTAACTTCTAAATGGCCGGCAACGCACTTGTAACACTTCTGGTGTTTCGGGTGTCCGTGGGCGGCACATGACTGATTAAAAGACCTGGGTCCCGATTCATTATTTAAAAAAAACGTGCTCGGTTCGGAACCGGTTTGGAAAATAAATGCCCAGATGTAAACTCACTGCATGGGACTGCTAGGATTAGTCATAAGAACATAGTTATTGTTATATATTTAAAGAGTCTATGAAATTGCTTTAAATATGAAAAATACAGGTAAAGAACATGAATGTTACATTCCTTGGAGGATTAAAAAATTATGATAACATGTTTGTAGTTCACTATAGTCCATTCACTTATGTATTAGAAAAATGAGGTTCATATAAGTAGGGGTGCGCAACATATATTTTGTTAAAAGAATTCAAACTATTTTCATAAATAATGATTTTACTATAAAACATTATCTATACTTCATCATCATCATCAACAGCCTATAAATGCCCACTGCTGAGCAAAGCCTCTTCTCACACGAAGAAGGTTAGAGCGTTAATCACCACGCTTGCTCAATGCGGGTTGGCGATTTCAAACTTATAATTAGAAATTATAAGTCCAGATTTCCTCACGGTGTTTTTCCTTCACCGTTTGTCAGTGGTGTCTAAATAATCTTAGAAAGTACATATAACTCGGAAAAAGTCACATTGGTACTTGCCGTTGGTAGGTTTCGAACCCGCACCCTCGTGCATAAGAAGTGGGCGTCTTAAACCTCCGGGCCACCACGACTATCTATACTTAGATATTGATAATTATTAGTTAACTATTAAACAGATAGATTGGTAAATAAATTGAAGATTCCCGGGCCCCGGGAATGGTTACTAGACTAGTTACTAAAGCAACAGAGGGACAAAGGAAATGCGAGTGGCTGAAGGGTTAAGAAACTACTACCGCTTTCTACTCAGATCATCTGCTCCAGCCGAAGCCTCCTGCATCCCTGGCCCACTCGCGACTTACGAATAGTTTTTTAACCTCCGAGCAAGATTAGTACTCTCGCGACTCCACACTGGACGGCAAATGAAGGCAACCCAGAGGTGGGAGATCTGTTCCTCGTCATCGTTCACTCCAGCCAGCCAATTAAGGCAAGCGGGAGAATAAGGAACAGTGACTTTTCCCTGGAGTACTCGGGATGTTGGTAGCTCACGGGTTCACTATTGCCCGTCACCTCGCCTCAAGGTGAGCACCTTACGGGCTTATTATTTTTACTGTTAAACGCGAAAGTTGTTTGTTAGTTTCTTCTTCGCGTCCAAATGGCTGATGGAATCTTATATGAAATTCGGAACAGGGGAATATAGTGGTCTGGAGTAACACATAGGCTAATTTTAATTTCATTAGAATGCAGGCGAAGCCCCTGCCCGAAGCTGGTTGGCTATAATATGTATTAAGTAAATTACCAAATATTTAAATTATTATAAATTGTTTTAAAATAACCTATCAATTGATTTAATCAACCTGTTATGTGATTTTAGTAAAACTATTAGGTGTGTAGTAAGAAATTGAAAGTCTGAATCATTGGGAATGTGGCGACACCTGTGGTTTGTTTAGAAAATTGTTTTAGGAATATCTTTGAAAGATTCATTTAATTAGGTGCTAAGTACAAGGTACTGGAACCTTTTTATTGTAGAATTCTATATTTTTATAAATTACTACTTTTATGAATTCTTTGTATCTACTTGTAAATACTTTCATACGATTGTCAATAACTTGGATAAAGGTAATTGTGTAGTTTTTTTTAGTATTTTAAATTCAATATCTACTATTGCACAAGTCTACAATAAAATGTTTCAAACAGTCATGTAGTTTTAATTGTGTCAGTACCTACTCCCTGATTTGCACAAAGTTTGTAATACGCGCAATATACTCAACTCTTGTTGCATGGAACTATAAGACCTGGATATTAATTACAATATGTGCATTGTGCTAGTCTGCTTACCGATTCTGTTTCTTCTCTAATAATATATTCTGTTTTGATTCGTTGTGGGATTGAAGACAGTTATTTATGCCCCTAACGCGCCGGAATTCACGGTGTTTTTAAATATTGTATCTACTGTAGATCCTGTCTTAAAGGAGTTGTAGCGGCTTCTCCCTTGAAAAATATTAATGCTTCGGGGATTTTCTCTTAGTTGCCCTTTAGATTAAATCTTATACATTTTATAACTTCAATAAAAGAAGCACTACAAACCATATAGCTGGGTAGGCAGTACTACCTAGGTTGGCACTGTAGTGTTGAACGTTGAACTGTCGACATATCATGGAATTTTACAGCGGCGACGTTCAATATCCATCGCTAATAATACTCGGTCAATACTCCAGTAGTGTATGTATGAAGTCTTCATGACTCTGTCATCTTTGCTTATTTAATTGTCACAATCAGTAGCTCGCTACAAGACAGCGCGGTCGTTTCTTGTTCCCTATCTAAATTACTTTAGTGCTTTGTGTGATGACAAAAATTATATCGATACTTATTAGACTAGGCTGTAAGTGTAATACCTTGTGTTTGGATTTGTGACAAATATTTTGAAGGTAAGTTTTTGACAGTTATTTAGGTGTTCGTTTTTTAAAAATTGCGCCAAATATTTAAACTTAACTTATTTTTTGAGTTTTTGGTTGAGTGTCGCAAGCGCAACTGCTGAACGAGAGCTCTGGGGTCTAAGGTTCGATTCCCGGGTCCACCCTCCAATACATGAGACATAAAAAAAGGGAAAAATGGTGCTACAATAAAAATGTGCACCGCTGCCTACCCCTTCGAAGATTAAAACGCGTGACGATATGTGCGGTTGCCTATGTTAGGAACCATGTCCCAAAAAATATGACAGTAGTTTAATTTGAAAGCATAACAAGCAATGAGTTTAGCATTCAAAATACTTGTTAGATTTATTTACTGTTTTTTTTAATTACAAATGCAATCAAAAAGTTAAAATATTAACACTACTGACCTCGATGGACACAATACTAACAGATTATATTTATTTATATTAATTTACACTTCATTTATTATAATTTTAGCAACACCATGGTACACTCGATCCCTATAACAAACATCGCAGTTGGAGTGGATGGAATAATTCATACGGTAAGATTTATTATATAGTATTTTATAGTAAATTTAATACTAATCTAGGTAGGTTAGGTCCTACCATCATACCTCGGTGATAAATAATGCAATCACGATTTTGCTGCGTAGGAGACTATGGTAATGAATAGATATAAAATCTATTAATGTAAATCGATATTTATTAAAATATCGTAACTATAATAAAGTACCTAAGTAGTTAAGTAATTATTTAGAATTTAAGTACTTACGTACCTATAGGTAGGTACCGTCAGTATACTGACGTCTGTAAACAGAACACAACCGGAACGCTGACAAAAACAAATTGTTTTACTATTGAGTAGGTACTTACTTTACTTTCCAATCAAAAATAAATTATTCCGACTATTCAATACAATAGAATATCTATTAAAAAATAATCAAACTTTCATTAATTGATTTTATGACCAACTTAATTTTAGTATATTTCCAGCATTTTAAAAAAGAATTACCTACACTGTTTGGCGCTAAAAAAAGGTGACGTCACAATTCACAATCTCGTACAAAATTTATAGAAAACTGTCGTTTCACAAAAAGTATTGAATTTGACTAGTTGTCAAATACCGTATTTTAATCGTTTTTGTTTTCGTGTTATTCATGAAATATTAGCCCTTACCAGTAGATAACAACTATTAATATGTAAACCCATTATTTCCTTAATTTTTTGAAAATGAACCTCGTGTTTTACGATCACCTGTCTTCGTTTTTGGAATCGTTTCGTCGAATTACATACTATTAGTATGTAGACGGAACTTATTATACAAATTGTATTTTCTAACAACCTATATGCGTACATTATGGATGTAATATATACTTGATTAGGTACTTAATTACTTGATTACAACCTGTATAAGATTACCTTCGACTAGTCAAAGTAATATTATTGTGCCTATGTTTTAGTATGTACCTACCCAATGTAATAGGTATTTTGGTTGTTCTTAAATACGAATATATTGTTCGGGCACTGAATCTCATTATGTACCCACTTATGTAGGTATATCTTGTATTTCTCAGTCAATTCAATGTAAATTGTTTTTGAGAAATAAATGTCTTAAACCGTATAAATAGCTAGTTCATCGACTGACTCCGGACTCGCTGATTTGAATGATCGCAACTTTGAAGCTAGATCGAGCCTCGAGGTGTCGGATTTGATAACGTGCAACTAAGTAGTTTGCCTTTGGGATCTTTGAGGAATAATATTTCATTACAGATTTACAGAGTAATGAACCCGACACTATTCACGTTTGTATTCTAATAAATTCACGTGTAACGACAAGCCTATTTAAGATATTTCTAGGTATTTCTTCTAAGATGCAATGCAATGGAGTCGAGAGCTCGGGTGATATTACTAAGATTATTGAACGGTTATATCACAGAGTAATAATGAGGTACTTGCCTAAGGCGTCAAGGTTTAATCCACTTCTGCTCTTATTATAAATCGCAAGAAACTTAAAACTTAACAGCTAGTCTAATTTGTAACCAGATAAATGAAATGCGATCGCCCTCACTTCGAGAGTGAGGATTGACATCTTACAGAATATAGCAGAATATAGCCAGCGGGTATTACTTAAAGTACTTACCTGGAGGTTCCAGCTTTGTTCGGTGTTTTATTTTTTAGTAAACAAACCTACGTAGATCGATTTATCACCCCCGAAACTCCCTGAATACAAAATTTAAAGATATCGTTGGAGCCTTTTCCAAGATCTTTGATTGATATACATATAAGAATTGCTCGTTTAGATAAATGTGCATCTATTCCCTTCAGCTTCAGACTATGAATGGCCACTAGAAAGACTGCAGTATAAGATCTAATGCAGTTATTTAGGTACTTATATCTCGAGTGTCGGAAGAAGGATGGTCCTATTGTTTCATCAAGAAGGAGTATAAATCCTTCTATTGTTCATACATCCTTCACGCTTATGACCCTTCAAGAGGCCTGACAGTCACATATCAGACAGATATGTTTTTAACTCCGTCTTTGAATAATTACTACCGAAGTACCGTTGCCAATGCATTCTATTTTGAGACACTGATGATGATGACTGTGCCAATTTATTATCGAACTGATTCGTTACTGTGGCGATTAAAGTTGTATGTGTTTCTGTTTACAAACAAAGTAGATGGATTGTAGCGCTTCTAGTTAAAAATTAGCCATATAACCTTAATTTATAGTTTTTGTAGAGAAGTTTAAAACTAGGTCTACTAACTAATCTAGTGATTACCTACTAACTAATCTATCCTATACAGAGTGTTGAACCAGATATTGTTTGGATGAAAATTCAGGCAAGTAACCCTATAAATAAGCAGAATAAGCAAGCATTATGTACTTTTTT